TGACGCTGGGCGGCTTGACGCTCTTTCACCCTTCTCCAACACAGAGGAATTCATTCACCCGTCGACGGCGCGGCTCGCCGCAGTTCACGAAACGCTTAACACCAGATTACTGGAAGCAGCAGCAGCCCAGGACCACCACTAGCATAAAGCACAATAAAGCAAGCGCAATTGCGGGAGGCGTATCCAAAGCGAGTGCAGCCCAAAAGGGCTGCAGTTGACGGAACCAACTCTTGCAACGCCGAAGCTGGCTGCCTCACCTATCACCTGCCCTTCGTTCGGCTTGCCGGACCAAGCTTGGGATCCTTGGTTCTCAGATGCTGTTCAGTACTTGCAAAGTCCAGGAAAATCGCGCTTGACGGCTCGGGTCCCTCAGTCGATCCAGTGTCAACTGCGAGGTATTCTGGAATTTTTCTTTGTGGAATCCTGAGCTGCGCGAGTGCGTCTGCCTATGAATTTCTGGTCATCAGATTCTTCGGCGGTATCTTCATCGGTGTAGGCCGCTTGGTGTCCGAAAAAGCATTGGGGGGGTCTCTCTAACTGCGACTGCGAGCCAGCATGCACATCGGCTCGAGCATGTTGGGCTTCCTGCGACGCGCCTGTTCGAGGACAACCAGCGTGGCTTGCCATTAGCTCTGAAGTCACGCCGGTTTATTGGAAAGTCGTGATGGCTGCCGCATCACAATCCCTCTTCGTCTTTGGAGAGATGCGGCTTGACCGCTTCGAGACGCCTGCATGCCATATTTTCTTTGCAGAGCAGCCGGTTGGTTGTGTCCAGCTGCGCTTGACTGTCAGCGTGATGGAGACGAGGAGAGTAGTTGTGGCTGAGCGACGGGGGCTGAAACAACGCTAGCTGAGCAACAATGTTTTCTCCTTGCCAGCTATTGTAGGTTCTCGACAGGTACGTATCCTTTGTGATCATGATGGATGATATGACCATGCAGGCAAGATGCACTCAGTAATCATGGCTTGTTGCAGCCGGATATCCTAAGCGACTTGTGCATGATGACATGCTGGGGTAGTGTTGGATGTCGTGTCAAATGCCACTGAGGGCTCTAGCTGTTGTGCTGCAGGTGTTGCACTGGCGATTGCTCCTGCGATTTGGAGCTTTGCCATCCCTCTGTCTCGCCGCCATCAGCCGCGTGCAGAGTTGGGGTGTAGGGATTAGGGTTCTTGATGTTGGGCACAGGCATTCCGATTGTTAAGCAGCACGAAAGATGCGGGACAGCTGAAGCATGCTTAAGCAACTCCGTTCGCGAGCTGAACGCTCCTTGGTATCTGAGTCTCAGTCGCTGAGGCATGCTGTATCTCAACGAATCGCCGATTTTCTTGGCACTCAAGGGCCACATCAAAGAAGCCCGGACAGTTATTGAGACCATGGCGAGGCCAGGGTGCATCTCCCTTGATGATTCTTGGTGTGATCGCTGTGATGAAATCTGTACCTGGAGACCTGGCTTATTCCTGCTGCTTTGTTTGAGTAGCTACGCTACAAACAAGAACCATGGACTCTTAAAGCTTCATTGATGTCTTGAAGCCACACAGAGTGCACGCAGTGTGCATTCCGCTTCGACTTTAAAGTACAGCGAAGATCCTTTTCAGACTGCATCACCGGGCAGGCAGAATCAGGCCATGCCGACGAGCCTGCGCTTTCGCCAACCACATGTGCATCCACCGGATACCTCCATCCTGAGCCAGATGCGCAGACAAATGTCTGTCGTGTTTCAGAACGCACTCTTGGAGTCTCAGTTGCAAGATGGACACATCAAATAGCAACAGACGAGGAAGGTTTCTCCACGGAATGTGGCAGAGCTTTTTTCCGTCTTTGGCGCCATCACCCGGTCCAGGGGGTGGGAAAGAAAAGTGAGCAAGGCGAAGACTGACATCATGACTCAACAACGCATGGGTTACCTTCTTCCACTGCTACTGCTTACCGGCGTTATTGCTACTACTGGTACTGATATTCTTGTCATGATACAGTGCCGAGGTGCCAACAATCGTCTTGATGTCCACCTGCTTCACACTGAATCTGACCTACTTTGGCTGCCTGTTCGCTTTTCCACAGGTGCCCCTAGCGGCAACGCTCCAAGCCTTTGAAAGGAGAACTTGTTTGGGTCCTCCTGTCTGACACCCAGGTGCTCCCTACTCTGATGCATGGCCAAGCTGCATCAGAATTGCTTGTGGGAGCGCTCTGGGAGTTGCCTGGTCTGGCACTAGGCTAGGCCCTGCTAGGCTCTTCGCCGCTCGCTGCATTTGTTGCCTATGGCAGCGTTCAGGCCTGTTGCTGGGCATCTCGGCAACCAGGTCGCCTATGGGTTGCACCCCCTGCCGAATAGTGCAAAACGTTATAAAACGTTTGAACATTGCGTGCCTGTGCTACTGAGAGAAGAGCAGCTTCGCAGGCGGACTGCCCTCAAGTTCTATCTGACATCATTGTCATGCAGCCTGTCTGTTATGAGTTTTCCTCGACAGGCGAACTATGTAGTAATTGGGATCCAGATCGCAACGAGGCTTCCTGCTCTGCTTCATTGTTGGCGTTCACTACGGGCACCTTTGCGGCGCATTGTATCATTGTGTCTGGCTCTTTGGGGGAAACATTTTGTGGCCTGAGGCAGTCCAAACTTCCGAAAGCAATGCTGCTTATAGGGTATTACGGCCTTGAGCCCAGAGAGTGATACACAGTTGCAGAACTGGCATGTGCATGTCAGACTCTTCTTGCCGAGGTGTCAAGTGCGTACCGAACATCGGCTTCATAGTGGCCTACCAGATGTCTGCGGAGCTTTATCCTACTGAGGCACCCTCTCAGATGTTCCCTCCAAGTTTCAGCATGCTCGCTTAGTCTGTCTAGACGATTAAATCGAATATTTTGGCAGCTTTTGGCAGGCACGCACCATGGGCTCGGCGCTTTGTTTGGCAGGTGGAAGGCCATAGACTCGATTGAAGCAGGTTGTAAGAAGCAAGGCAGAACATTGATGGAGCGGGCATACCCCAAGTCGGAACCAATTTGCAACTTCCTGTGTTTCTGCTTGCAGTAACGTCTCGCAGCAGGAAGGCTTATGCCTCACGCATCAATCTCATGCAGCTCTTTAGCTGAAGGCTGGCAGCCATGCTTGCTCCAATGGTTTACGAGTCCATCGTGACCTGGACTGGTGGATTCTTGCCATTCTTTCTGGTCATGGCAACGATGTGCGTGAGCAACTTGTACATGGTGGGCGGCTGAGCTTCGAAGGCCGTCCAAGACAAGGCGTGTAGGCTCAAGAGCAGGAAGAACAAGACACACATGCTGACCTGCTGGCACCCACTGAAGTGATGCGCCTATAGACTATAGACTGCACGACTGCACCTACTTCGAGGCACTACATGGCTCCACACATTCTTCAGCATTGCATAGCAATGCAGACTCTCCTGGAGTCCTGCAGCTTGTCTTGCTGCAGTCATCATCATCTTCTTCCTCTCACTCTCACTTCTATCCGATCAGTAGACCACACGGCCAACAGACATTTGCACCGGTCTTGCTGCAGACGCCTCGGCTGTTCTGGGGTTTGGCCGGCCACGAGTATTGGTTGAAGCATCCGTGAGAGGAGCTGCAGAACGGTTTGGGGCATATAGCAGGTTTAAAAGGCTCACCACCCTCCGGTTCCAAAGCTGCTTTTATGCCTTCCTTCAATTAGTTGGACACTGCAGGTTCGACGGGTTTGCAAGCACAGCCGCAGACACATGTAGTCCCTCGTCCTGTTGACACGCGCTCGTTGGCCGTATTCGAGCGCTTGGGCTTCGCACTGCGAGCATCATCCGTGGACGATGCATCCTGAAGATTCAAAGCAGCCAGTGTAATTTCCTATCCCCGTGTGAGAATACAAGTACCCACGCACAAGCTACGCCACACAGCATGTTGTTCCGTTCATAGCCGAGGTTACAAACCCCTCCGCGCCACTCACAAACTCCGGAGACTAGCCACATGCTCCGCCGGACTTGAAGCCAGAGTGGAGTGTAGCCTTGATATCGAACAGGATTGCACACAAGCAGAACAAGACGAAGCAAACACCTCGTGGTTGCAGTTAGATGTTCGGAGGAAGCTGTGCAGGGATGGGGGTGTCTACGTTGGCCGAACACTCCGCTCCCCCAGCACACCTTCACCTCGGCAAGTTCCAGCAACCGTTGGTTTTCGGCCTGGGTGCACGCGCACAGAGACACACAATCACTCTCTGTCACTCATTCGTTTCTCTTTGATGTGTTTGCTGAAGCCTTTCACTACGCAGTTGCCGCAAATCAATGCTTGTAGGTGCACTTGTCGATGTGTATGATCTGTGATTTCCCTTCATGTACAGTAATCATATTGGTGTTTGGAAGTTGCAATGGTGCTAACTGAGCATTGCCCTGGGTGCGACATTGTCTTGCACTGCTTCCTTTCGGCTGATGGACAGAACAGCATTACAGTTTACAATCATGGTGTGGGAAAAAAAGCCGGGTGGCCACATCATGAAACAGCATCTCCGAAAGATTCCGAACGAATGAGCAGCATGAAACATCGGGGAAAGGTCGACCTGTTGCCGGAGACATCCACATTGAGGCACGATGACGAGATCTCAAAGGACGAGGGCACACCAGACTGGAGCATACTCTACAAAATGACTTTGCTTCTGCTCATGTTGCCAGGACTCCGATGGGAAGGCCGTACATGTCGTGTAGCGGTACATGAAATCAGTGAACCTCGCTTCCCTTGACCCTGGACCATACAACGGAAGGGTGGAGGTGGAGCAGGTGCCCGGTGCAAAAGAAGCTGTTGCTCGCTTGTTTCAGTGACGTGGCGCGACAACTTGCAACCAGGATTTCCACAGTGCATATTGGTCGCTTGTCTCTAAACACACGGCTTGCTGAACAGGGCACTCGGTTTTCAGCATGCTGAGGTCGGTTAAGTTCGTTTGGAAGCTCGCATGCTTGATTCTTAGGTTATGTGGTGCTAGGACGCTAGAAGGCCTCATGCATGTCCGTGCCTGCTCTGCGCCATGGGTCAGACAGCCACACAGTCATTCGCGCACGGCCCTTATGTGCACATCTGCTGGTCTCGCAAAGATGTCAGAAGGCCTATGGAGGCTGTGTCTTTCGTCGTACGTGAAAGCTTCCACAGAGAATGGCAGCGAAAAGCAACAACACTCTTGATTGGTTGTTGGGCAAGCTTGCAAACGAGTGCGAGACGTGAGGTTCGCCAGCTCCGATGCTTCAGGCCTGCTTGCTTCATCGAACAGACCAAGCTTGGTTCAGTGAGAATCGGCTTTTCATCGTGAGGCCCAACCGCTGGCCGAGGCATGCCGCCTGGAGTAAGGCTGGAGGAGCATTTGTGTTTGCAGGGTGCAGGAAGGACGGAGCAAGATTTCTTCCTTCTCCAGGACTCCGAGGTTAGGAATATCTTTTTCGTGGAGAAAGCGATTCTGGCCTGTCCTCTGCCTGGGAAGGCCGACTTCGTTCACATGGGGGGCCAGGGCTGGGCATTTGAGATGCCACGTGCCATCAACACGGAGCTTACTACTTATGGTAAGATCTTATCAAAGCCATCGATGTAGCGAGCTGCGGGTCCCACAGCATACGAGCCCAAGACGCCTCCGGCCAGTTGCAGTCACTGCAGACAAGCTCTGAATCTGCTAGTGTTGCCCGAGCCAGAAACCCTGACGCAGCGTACCGCAGAATCGGTTTGCTTGGAATAGTTGGGGGCGTTGCCAGTTTATGCCGTTTTTTTTGCCATGGAGCTTTCCTCTTCATTCCTGCAGAGACGGAGTCGCATGTGCGTTGGTCAATAGTCGTCTGGTACATCAGCAGGTGGCACACAGCCAGGGCCAAATATAGAGAACACTGCTACATGCCCGCTAGGGATGACTCATTCAATCTCATTCAGAAGGATACAGCGAGCTGCAGCACATCCACAGCTTAACAGGAAGTGTCTAGCATCCGCTTGCCATAGACAACCTTGATTAGCCACAATTGCCACAATCAAGCCGCAAACACATTGGCTTTTCATCTGCTTGGGTCCTAAACTTCTGACGCAAGCCTGCAAGCGGGAGCGATCAGAATTGATGTGATTTGGCAGGGCTGGATTGAACTCGGTCGCTGGAATCCTATTTCCCTGGCACTGCTGGCGCCGGCATGGCCGGAGACCGGGAGCAGTCTGGAGTTCTCAACTTCCGATCCATTTCTTTCAAGGCTTGTTTTCCCTTCCCCACACTGACCCCTGGCAGCAGCCAGCCGGAGGGTTGATGCATCTTGATCTAGGGCTTCTCGAGTGCATCCAGCTGTGTGACGGAGACTGGGGATAGTCATCCTGTACATGGGGGTGCGTTGCCCCTACAGTCGAAGATTGCTTAATCGCGACATATACTGTAATTTTGACGCTTCGCGTCGTCCGCCTCGGCCCGGCCGCAAACAAAGAGGGCCAACGAACTGCTGGTGCCAATTTACTGCAGCTCACCGTCGTACGGAAAGACTGAAGGGATGGGATGAGAGACAAAAAACAAAAGAGACGGGGGCTAGGAAAAACTGGACGGCGGAGGAAAGAGGGACGAGGCAAAAAAGCAATTAAAGTGGAAAGCAGGTTCAGAAACACGGGTTTGAAAACGGGCAGGAAATGAAAACAAATGGGCCTGTGCTTTGTGTCGAGGACCTTAGGCTTGCAGCGCTTCGATGGCTGCCGCTGTCAGCCAGTGCAAGCAAGAAAAAAGCAAGAATGGCGGAAAGGGGAAGCAACAATGGAGGGAAAGCGAAGCGAACGGGTGGTGGAAGGAACAGGGGTTCCGGGGACGGGCCGGTGGGGGGCCCGGGAAGGGGGGGCTGGGAAGGCCAGAAAGAGGGGGAAAAAGAGGTGAACCTCTGACCGCTTCGGCCGGGGCCGAGGCGTATGGCTTCTGCCTTCACGTGTTCAACACTGCTAACCAAAGTAGGAACCACAATTAGGCGAGGTGGACCTCAAAGGCAAGAAATGCGAGTCTGCAGGACGAGAACTGCCAATGTGGCATGCTGGACCTTCTTGATGCTTACCGAAACAGTTTCAGTAGTCCTCCACAGTCTAGTTGGTTGTTTTTTTGGAAATGCTTCAACTCCTAGCAGGGCCACACAATGGGGCTGGTGGTGGTGGCGGTCGTTTTGGTCGTCGTGGTGCTCCTGCCTTCCTTTCGTGCACAGAAGGGACGAGGGGGTTCACGCCTGTGGGACAGGAAGCCATAAGGCATAAAACCGGCACCGAGATTGTATCCAAACTGCATCCCGTTTGTAAGTTCTTTTGCGTCCACTCGACACAGACAGCTGAGCGAGTCACATGTTCGAATACTTGGCATATGTCGGAATCTCAATGGTGAGTGAACAGTGGCTGTGGACTCTTGAATGACGTTCGCTTGGTTGGTCATCCTGCGAAACTGCGCTTTCAGGTCCTACCAAATCGCAGGCACTGCAGACCATTGGTGGTTCGTTGCGAGGACCAGCCCTCAAACCTTGCAACATGCAGTGTTGTTTCAGACAGTATCGTCTGACTGGCAAGGGGGTAACCAGACCTGTCGCCGCAGGAGTGCTGACAATATGCTCGGAGCCCAACTAGTTTCAGACTTCACTGAATAACAAGTTAGCCATGTTGCCGCCCAAGCATATTTTGAATAAGGATGTCATGGTTGCGACTTGTTTTGTGTCTCTGTCTCATTTTTTCTGTCGGCCGTGCATGTGTTCTGGACCTCTGTTGCGAGTAGCTATCATCAGTGCATGCAAGCGAAAAAAGTCTGGCAGTCCTGGCAGCAGCACATAGGACAGCTTTTCGCTACTTGCAGGAGCTTGCCAAGTTGCAAGGCTTACTTATGCCAGGAGACGTCTGCCAAAATGTCAACTGCCATTTTGGCCCAAGCATCTGGACCGTGGGTCCTCTAGATTTTGTGTTTTCTTTCGATTCTCTGTTCAGTTCTTGTCGCCATGTCTTCCGGCGCCGCTGCCTCCGCGGATCAGGCGATGATGTCGGCCAGCTGGCAACCGTTGATAGTTTGGCGGTGCCGAGGGAAGAGGCAGACAGCGACCAGGAGCGGGAGAAAGTCACAGGTGGCAGGAGCTGAACTCCTGCACAACTTGGAGGTCCACCAGGACGAAGAAATGAATGCCACCCTTGCCTCCTTCAGCGAGTTGGAAACCGACAACACCCCCCTCTCCGTTCGTCTTCTGGAAAGGGAGCAGTTACCACGGCGTGCCCACTCACAAAGCCCTCCTTGCAACCCTTCTGGGCCTGGAAGAAGTCCTGCTTGACTGCCGGAAAGTCTGCCAAACTCATACGTGCCTTGGCTTCGCTGCTTCTTTCACTGTTTCAGCAGAAATTTCGGCAAGCATCTCCGTACGCACCGCTTGCCCTTTGGTCTGGACTCTCGGGGTCATGGCCTGGCGTATGTTGGGGGGATGGCTCACCAGTTGGAGTCCCCCACGAAACAGGACGTCTTCTGGTTCTGCTACCAGGTCCAAGCAGATGCGCACCCCTGGGCGTTCGACAAAGGATGCCCCAAGAAGCGCATGGCCGTTTCCGAGATGTTCGGCACTCTGATTTTCGCGTGTTTTCTCATGGAGAAAGCACCGGCCTTTGTCCCGAACCTGAGGATTCCCCTGATTAGCGACAACCAAGGGAATGTTTACTCCCTTCTGAACGACAAGTCCAAAAAGATGCCAACATCTGTCATCCGCGTGGAAATTCTGCTTCAGCTGCATCTACATTCTATGCAGCTTGCCCCTTCATACGTGAAAAGGGACCTGAATACATGAGCACACGAACTGTCTCAGCCATGGTTTCACACCTTCTCTCCGCCAACCGGTGGAACCGGTTCTGTGCAGATTTGCTCTTATCGAGGACATTCTCGAAGATCACCCATGGGCCCGTGCAGGGCGCCCGGTGAGGCTGTGGCCCCCTCCTGTCCGGCTTCCTGTTGGACGGCACAGTTTCCTTAACTTGGTTTGGTTCGGGGTGCAGGACCAAAGGTGCGTAGGGCCCTGTGGAACTGGACCCCGGTAGGAACGATGTTGACACGGATCCTTCGACCGAAGGGATCAACTCCTGGGAGTCGGCAGCTACACCAATCCACCATGCAAAACGGAGTGTTTGCATGCAACGGTTTTGGAGTGCCGTTTTCATGCGGATATCTGACACTATGTTTCATCTTGCCATCGTAGGTTATGGAAAACTCGTGCGAGCACAGCACCCCACGAAGAGGTTCGCAGCTCTCCGAGGCCAAAGACCTTGACCGCAATCAATAGCTAGTTAAAGTTCGACAAGCATGAACTCGAACCTCATGTCTGACCTGTGGCTTCAATGGCCGCTGCGAAGACTGATTCCTGTTTCATCGCTTGCACCACAACTGAATCTTGTTCTTAACAATCAACATGCGGAGCCTTCTTGGACCGACCAACTGTCGGGCTAAGGTATTACTATGCAGCTCAGTTCTGTGTGGACCAGACCGGGAAAAATCATATCACAGGCACCCGATGTCATCGTTTCACTGCATCTCCCGTCAATGTCCAAGCTTGATGTGACCCCCAAATTCGCCAAGCTGCCAAACCGGAGGCTTGGCATACCTTGGAATGTGGGCAGCCATTGCCTGTGGCCTTCAGTATCCGGAGGAGACGTCGCAGTACGTTTAAGCCATGAACTACTGCCAAATGTATGCTCATATGCGCTATCAATCGGTTCCAGGCAAAATGGTGGTTTGCTCGTGACTGGGCACCCTGCGAGCATCCTCGCAAAAAGCGAGATCTTGACAGGCAGCATGCTCCTCTTGAGTGTATGTGAAGGTTCGACTGGCTGTCGTGATGTCTGCTGCGGCTTCCAACAGGCTTCTGCAGAGAAATCCATCGGCAGCACGTCCGTACTCGTGGATGGACAACAATTGCCAGCACTTTGCCATGAATCTTTATGTGGCGTGCTTAGCCCTCCAAGCATTGTCCAGCATCGTGGTTTCGATCGTGTCTCAAACTTTTCACACCCGACTTATCATTGTTGAGTGGAGCAAGATCACTAAACTAAACCACGTCGTGCTTCCTCGCACACCACAAGATCACATCTCTCCTTCATCAGGTCGCAGGAGCGGCACATCGAAAGCACGAACCTGACATGCCACGTAGCATCGACCAATGCTAGGACATTGGAAGAACTCGCTTGAACATGCCGGAGAGAAAATCAAGAAGCATGAGATGATATGAGCTGCATGATAGCTACGGTCCGACAACAGTGAAGCAAGCTACATCCGTCTTGTCAAGCCAACTGCGGCAGCAGTGCGTGCCATCGTCGCGGCAACAAGCACAGTAGTAGAGTAGGAGTGGTAGTAGTCGTGGTAGTAGTAGCAGTAGCAGTAGCAGTAGTAGTAGTAGTAGTAGCAGTAGTAGTAGTAGTAGCAGCAGCAGCAGCAGCGGCGGCGGCAGTAGCAGTTGTAGTCGCAGTAGTAGTGGTAGTAACAATGGCAGTGGTAGTGGTAGTAGTAGTAGTAGTAGTAGTAGCAGTAGCAGTAGCAGTAGCAGTAGCAGTAGCAGTAGCAGTAGCACCAGTAGCAG